ATTGTAAAATAGTTTTTTTATATGTTGCACACCGGGTGAAAAGTCAGTCGTGTAACATCGACGGTCGCTCCTGTAGGTAACACCTGATGAACTTAGTAAGACCTGAATATTCAAAAATAACGTTTTAAAGTTCAAGAAATACGGATCCGGTAGTTTAGTACTATATACACAACTGAAAGAACATTCAAAGAAACTTCAGTCGTATCTTATCTGTCCTGTTATAGAAGTATTAAAGAACACAAAGATGCTATTACTGGAGAAGGATGAGCTATATTAAAAAACAATGAGCCCTGATCGAGGTTAGCCTAAAACATAGTAACTAAAACCAATTTAGAAGTTACCCGAGAATTTTATTATGAATATGAAAAAAAAGGGGTAAATTATTTTTCATCGGTACGACTAGATCATTTTATATATTATGAGTTCAGAAGAGAATTAATTGTGTAAAATTTTTTTCTCGATCAATTTATTTGAAAAATGAAGCCTAAAAACATAATATTAATAATTACTTGTTTTATTATCGCTTTTTTGAGTTCGATCAATGCTGCATCATATAATAATAATAATAATAACGAAATTCCAAATTTTATCCGACGCGAACCAGAATTAAATAATGTGCCCAAAAATATACTTGTTTCTTCTCTAGTTGGAGGTAGCTTATGCTTAAACAATACGTTAATCGATTTATATAATCCCTGATCATTCAGAAGTTAATTTCAAAATCTCGATAATTTATCATACCGACAATTCATTTTCTATGCCGACTTAACTAAATCACTATTATTCCCCGTTTCAGTATGTTGAGTTATGTGTTATTAATCACTACTTTTATCGATTTTTTTTTTTCTTATTTGAGTGCCGCCAAGAGAAAACCTGCAGATCTTATTATATAAGATTTGCAGGTTTTCTTTTGGTGGCACTCATTTGTTATTTCCCCCGGAACAATAGCAAATAAAGCCGGGGTAATAACAGACCTTTGCTATTTCCCCGAAAATGTTAAAATGTAAAGGAAAATGTGATAAAAGCAATTAGTAACACGAGAAACGTTGAATAATTCATTTATTCCGCCGTGCCGGGGAAATAATTGAAATATTCACCCCAGCGGCGCACCTATGGGTCGCCCCACGTATGCCTAAAGATCAAAACCGACTGATATGTATAAATTATCATGGTTTTAAATTTAAATCGTTATGGTGTTGAATTTTCGAGATTTTGAGTGTCCGGCTTCTGATAGTTCGAAATCATGATTTTCGGAAATTTCAATTTATGTTGTGTTTTATATTCATCTAGGATACAGTCTTGTTACTCCAATGTTAGAATTAAGTAGGATTTTGAAAGAGCGTGGTTATAATGTAAGTTTTTTTTTTTTTTTGAGAATTGAAATTAACCAATCACGTGACACCAGTTCATTAAATTGCTATTATTAAAATAAAATAGGTAACTTTAGTATCTCCTGGTAACTACACAGCTACATCCGTTGCATATCGTTCAATTCCTCAAGTCATTACCGGTCCACCATTAGATGCGCGTTCGTTTCCGGAGTTTCAAGATTTTTTTACTGAAAAATTTACATATAAACATCTAAATTTCTTAAGAAGAGTATTCTTTAAAGTTTATGTTAAAGGTTTTAATGAATTAAAGAGTGCTGCAAATGACATTAAACCGGACTTATTCATATGTCTTTATACACTAAATGAACCATGCTTTGATTTGGCATGGAAACTAAAGAAACCAGTTGTTGCGTTTGGATCCTCTGTGATGTGTAAGTAAATTAATACTTAATATTTATAAATGTGAATTAAATAAATAATTAATAAATCTATATATATATATATATATATATATATTTATTTATACTTAATATATTTTAGCATTCTCGTTACCATTCTATAAATCTGATCCAATTTTTGGATGTAAAACCAATATGGAAAATGAACCATTTTACGAAAGATTTCGATGTTCTTTAATCATGCCTTTAGTTTCATATTGGAGTGTTAGGCCCGTTATAAATGATTTAAATTATTATAGAGCTAAAGTTGGTGTGGAGCCTTATAATCATATTCAAGGTGGAAAAAATATTCTATATTTGGCTGATAATTTCTTTGGATTTGAGGTAAGCATGAATGAATTATACAAGTTAGAATGAATTATACAAGTTATATATAAAATGAATAATAAATACAACTATATTTAATTATTAATTTTATTGTTAATTTTATTATTAACTTTACTTTTTTGAATTTTCTAGACACCATTTCCTGTACCTCCAATTCATCAAGACATTGGACCAATCATGCCGGAGGTATACCAAGGTTTGACTCCATCAATTGCTGAATTCCTTGAAGCTCATCCTAGAACAATGTATTTTACTCTTGGAACTCAAGTATTCACTACTGCTAAAAATTATGCCACTTTTTTACAATCTTTTGTTGAATTAATTAATCAAAACATTATTGATGGAGTAATCTGGTCAACTGTTAAAGCTGATACTACTGAATTACCTCCATTTATCACTCTTTCGTCAAATATTACAATACCTACTTCAAATATATTAAATAATTTACATCCAAATATTTTTGTTACAAATTTTGCTCCTCAATTTGCTATACTTTCACATGAGAATTTAAAAATTTATTTAAATCATGGTGGTGCTAGTAGTTGTCATGAATCAATGTATACGGCTACTCCAGTGTTAATGTTTCCATTATCAAGTGATCAAGATGGTAACGCTGATAAATTAGTGAATACTGGTATGGCTTTAAGACTTAGTAAATTTAATTTAGATGCTAATGATATTATATTAAAAGTTAAGAGAATATTAACTGAAAAAAGTTTCAAAGAGAGCGCAAAGAGGATGCAACTTTTAGCAAAAATTAATAGCAAACGAAAATATAGAGGTGCTGATTTAATTGAATATGCATTAAATTCTGTAAAATATAGAGGAAATATGAATGATAATGGTGAATGGGAAGTTGATAATAATGTATTATTGAACGATTTAATTACTCCTGATACGAGAATGGGTTTTATTAAAGGAAATAATTACGATGTTTTGGCTGCCGCTTTTCTTATCGTTATAATTTTGGTGGGTGGTGTTAGCTATAGTAGTTGGAAATTTATTGGGAAATTAATTAGAAGTGAAAATTTTCAAACAACTTTAAAATCTAAAAAAGAGTAACAAAATTTTGAATTTATAATTTAATTCTCATTTGTATTATTTATCATCATTAAAGAAAATTATTAAAGGGAAGAGTTAGGCTTTAAAAAAAAAAATTTTTTTTTTGTTGCAATTTTATTTTTATTTTTTATTTTTTTCATTTTATTTAAAAATTTTGTTGCAACGAAAACAAGTAACATAAATCAAAATAATATCCATCATAGAAAAGTAACCAAAAAACTATACTACAAAAGAAAATAAATGAATTATTAGTATATCGAAAAAAAAAAAAAGTGGCATCAACAAAGAAGTTTAAAAAATTTAATTTTGTATTTACCATCAAGAAAAAAAAAATAATAATATTTAACAAGAAAAAGGATAAATTTCAATTTTTATGTTACAATTTTATATAGGCCTGCCTTAATTTTACAAGAAAAAACTAATCAAATTTTCTGACCCCACGTATTCATTGTAAAAATAAGTGTTAAAATGTTTAGGATAAAAAATAATTGTTATTTATGATATTAATATAAATTCATTTTATGTTAATAACATGGCCTTTAGTTTTCGTTAAGTTCAATGAGAGACGGTTTTTTCACTAAACCATTTCCACTTCCACCACTACTTCCAGAAGATAATACATCTCTGGTTAAGTCGCCTAAAAATGAAACTCCCTTATAAAGAAAACCATCAAATCCCGAATCATCATTAGTTTTTTGATTTTCAACATCTAATATTTCATCATGAGGAATATTAATTTGTTTTTCTAATTCGTATTGTTCTTGCGACCCAACATGCGTTGAAAGCGTTGAAAGCCTTGATGGATTAAAAGATGAAGATGCCGGAGTTGATGTAGATAATTGGTTAGTTGATATACTAGATGTACTGGACGCTGATAATGGTGTGCCGCAGTCACTTGTACCACTTATAGATGATTTCCTCGATTTTCCTGTAGGCAACTTTAATAAAGATGGCTTACGTTTTTGCAACGGCCTAACAGGGGGCTCTTCAATTGGTGATGGTTTAAGAGATGATGCTGATTTTTTCTTTAAAAGTGATTGTCGTTTAACGTGAGTATTGATCGTCAAATCAGGTTTATTACGTGACGTGGGTGTCAAAGCTGATGAAGTTTCAGTAGGTTCGGCAGTAATTGTTTGTAAAACAAGAGGCGAAGGAATATTGTTACTATTTGCTTGTGAATTAATGTCAATATCATCATCAAAAACTACAGATTTACGATTTTCTGATGTTATTTTTCCGGAAGCAATGTCGTCAAGATTTCCTGCAGAAAGACGTCGGATGTCTGCTCGATTATTACGTGCCTCAAAATAACTTGTATCTTGTTCATCTTCAGGATTAGGTACGAAAGGTGCTGTTTGTTCACGAATATTTTCCCAATCAATTCCGTTAAAGAAAGGATGCGCTTTAATTTCATCTACGCTAGGTCGTTTTTCAGGTGTTTTATTTAACAACTTTGAAATTAAATCTTTGGCTTCTAAAGATAAAAATCCTTCAGGTGGCCATTGAATATCATTATCTAAAATGCTTCTAAAGATTGCTTGTGGTGTATCATCATTAAAAGGAGGAAATCCAACAAGAAATTCAAAAAGACATATACCAAGAGACCACCAATCTACCGCTGTTGTGTGTCCGATACCAAGAAGTAATTCGGGTGCAAGATAATCGGGTGTACCTAAGAGAGCTTTAGAACTTTGTCTATTCTGCTTTTTTAATGATTTTGATGATGACGTTTGAGTACTAGTATTGGTTGATGATTGGGATTCTATACTATGAAAGTTAATATGGACGGAAGTTCCTGTGCTTTCATTGGGAAAGACAGAAGAAATTGGGCGATGACCACTAGGGTTAGTACGAAAATCCACGCTGCCAGCTCTCATACTCTTTGACTTTTTATCAGGCCTATTATTTGATTCTCCTTCTTTAACGAATGTAATACTGCTTTTTTCAGGAATTGATATCCTAGACAAACCAAAATCAGTAAGTTTTATATGGCCTTCAGAGGTAATAAGCATATTATCAGGCTTCAAGTCTCGATGAGTTATTCCATTTTTGTGAAGATATTCGAGCGCTAATACAACTTCTGCTGTATACATTCGCGCCATGTCCTCTTCAAACCGTTCAAAAGATTGAAGAAGAGATGATAAATCACCACCAATTAAATATTCCATTACCTAAATTGTTATAAAAAAATATATATAAACATATATATATTAAGTATGTGGATCGATCAATAAATAACAAATAAATAAATAAATAATAAATAAAATAGATAAATAAAATAAATAAATAAAATAAATAAATAAATAACAACTTACCAGATACAAATAATCCTGGCTTTGAAATGCGTAAAACAGTTTAACCACAAAAGGAGTTCTTGTCAAACTAAGAACTCTTCTTTCTGCAAGTACATGATTTACCATATTCTTGCGCACCATATCTACTTTTTTTAAAATCTTTATCGCATAAAGATCACGAGTTGTCTTTTTTCTTGCAAGGTAAACTTTACCAAAAGCCCCTCGACTAATAGGTTTTATTATTTCAAAATCTTGAATACTTGGAACTCGAGTTTTAGCACCCTGCAATATATGATATTTCGTTATATTATGAATATTATTAAGAAGGATCTCAAAGTATTTGCTTACAAATATTTACCATTTTGTCACCATTAACAGATGTACCATTAGAGTTGTTAGAGTCCTTATACGGTGAGTTATTACCACGGCCATTAACTCCACGTAAAATAGCAGTAAACAATGAAATCAATTTTTTCCCACTACGTGAAGGACTATCTGAATCTAAAAAAAAAATATATATGTGGAGTTTCAATTGTAAACATCAAAAAATTTCTTTAATCTAATATTACCAAAACAAATATCGACATACCATATGATATTGATCCAGCACTCTCTTGCCGCCTATGCGATAATGCTAGATCTTTTTGACCAGTATTGCTACGTTGACGATAAGTACTTGAAGGCCTTGATAAAAAGTTTGATGATGCTTTACTTGATGCAGATGTTGACAACACTCGGCTTGATATTGATTGCTTTCTAGCAGTTTTTTGAGGTATTTGTAAAGCTGCAGTTTCCATCGGATTTGTTGTAGTAACTGAAGAGGGAGTGCTAATAGCCAGTGTTCCGCTATTTGAAACCGTTTTAGTTGACCGTAATTTCCGGAAGTATACTTTCAATGTTTCATGCTTCTCTTCAACCTAAAAATGTTAAAAAATATTTAAGTAATCTATAAAAATTAATATTAACATTAAAAAAAATAATACCTACAACATGAAGTAATCGATTTCCATAAGTCATTAGTTTTTCATCTCTCGTAGCGACTTTTTCAATATCTTCGACCAAACGTCTTAATTTAGTCGCATATTTTTCACTTTTTCGAAGTGCCTCTCGACGGTTTAATGTCTCCTTAATGCCAGCAGCTCTGAATAGAATTAAAACCGTTAACAATGAAATAGTATATTACAAAAAAATTTTCAATATATAATAAATAATAATATAAAGAATATTACTTTAATCCGATTTGTTCCATTAACTCGGCATCTTTTATGTTATAATAATCTTGGAAAGATGGGTTTTTTTCCTAAATAAGAAACAAAAAGGATTTTTCCATCATTAAAAAATTTTTTTTACATTGTAAGAAAAATTAAATTTGATAAATAAACCATACTATAAGTTCAGCCTTTCGTTTCGAAACATCGCCAACTAATCTGCTAAGTCTACCATCACATTCTTTTAATTTAAATGCGTATTCAGTTGTGATGGCACAAGTTTCAGAATGTGCGGCCATCTCATAATTAGGAATCATTTCCTCACAAATACGGCACAGTATATAATCATTTTGAGGTTGATATGGAGTTGCAAGACTGTGACTACCGATAAGATTATTATCGCCTCTTAATTGTAACGATGAATTACGGCGAGATATTGCTGTTGATCTTGAATCGATAGAAAGTGAACGTGATTTTTCTCTCGGTGAAGGTGGTACACTAATGTTGCGAATGGGACTTGACTGAATTGCCGTTCGAGTTGGAGATCCAACAGGAGATGCTGCAGTCGATGATGAGGGACTCTGAAACGCATTCTTTAGCGACTTTAAAAAACCAATCACCATTTTTGACTATAAATTTAAATGATTAAGTTAATTAATTAGATCATTAATTTTTAAAATGTAAAATAATAGATTTACAATCAATCATAATAAATTACTTTTTTCGATTTTTTCTTCGATTCCGAATCCACATCTTGTTGTTTTTTCAATATTATACCATAATCAATTTCCCTATTCATTTCTTCATGAATCATTTGATCTACTTGTTTTCTTGTTATAGTATAAGTAAAAAGTTCTTCTGTATTTGTTGGAGGAGGGACATACATTATTGGACTCTCAAATACAGCTTCCATAGCAAATTCACGATGTTTTTCAAGGGAATCTTTTGCATGTATCTTTGGGGGCATCAAAACATGACGAGCCAATGGAGATGAAAATGTAGGAGGTAAAGGTGAATTTGATTTTCCATCAAATTCAGCAGAAGATTTACGTCGTTCTTGTATTTGAAATAATGTTCGTGGTGGGGAGTATGAGGAAGGAGTTAAAGGAAGTGATGGAGATGATAATGGTGAAGGTAATAACCATTCATGACCGGATACCAATGAATCATCTTTTATAACACCTTCTCCTGAAAGTTCAGGATTTGTTTCAGCAAAAGAATGTTTCTATATTTAAATGAAAAATTTAATTAAGTTTAAAAAAAAAAAAAAAAATCAAAACAAATGCAATTTATAAAAAAAAATTGAAAACATTACCACAGCCTCAACGGCTCTTGCTACATCCGCAAAAACATAAACTAATTTTGTCAATAATTCTTCAGCATCGGCATTACCAACAGCCATTTTTCTTTGTGATTCCATTAGTTCTTGAAGTTCTTTCATGATTTCGACAGCAACATTAAAATGTATTAAATCATTAACAGCAGTCTTAAGAATACGACGTGCAATACAATCAATTCGCGTCAATAGATGCGTATGAGATGAAGCTAAGAATAAATAAAAAAGAATAAAAGTGAATATATATAAAAAAATCATTAAAAAAAAATAAAATAAAATAAAATTAGATAAACATACTTAAAATTGTAGGAGGCCAACTATAAGAACGTATCATTCTCTTTTCAGAATATTTTCTCTTTGGAAGAATATTCCTTGGTTTATTATCACCATGTAATGATATAGATTCCATTTTATTAGTAAATTTATTTTTAGAAAGTTCATTGTTTGTTTTTGATTTATTATCCAATAAAGTTTTATAAGGAGGAAAAGTCTCATCATCTGTATCACTAATGACCACAGTTTTACCCAAAACTTTTTGATTACTGTTCTTTTGAGAATGAAAAGATACCCGTTTATTATCATTACTATAAAAATTGTTACCCTCATCAACATATAAAAGTTCACCTAAAAGTTCTTGATATTGATAAGACTTATACCAATGATCTAATATATTCTCAATACTTTTATCAGCACGACGTTTTGTTTCTTCGAGGTCTTTAAAAAGTTTTCGTTTAACTTTTGGATAAGTAAAATCAGGAGTACCTTCATCAATAATATGTAAATTACTAAGACGATTTTCTTCAGCGTCAACAGATAAATCAGGAAAAAAACGAATAGCAGGAGATTTTTGAAAAGAAGGTTTACGCCTTACAGAAGAAGAATAAGCAATGGAAGATTGTTCATCATTTGTAACATAAGCATCAGAATCAGTTTCTAAAGAATCAGTCTCAGAATCAGAATATAAAGTACTACTTGAAGGATAAGATTTTAAATTTAATAAACGTTTAAATTGGGAATTTACGCTACTAGAACGGCGTGAAGAAGTTGTAACTGGAGAAGGAATAGAATGATAATAAGAAAGGTTATTGTTAATAATATTATTAATATGTTGTTGTTGTTGTGATGAAAGCGAAGTTTGAGATGGTTGAAATGGTTGCTGAGATTGAGATAAAGTCGGAGAAGTTAAAGATTGATGTAATTTTTGACTGGTAGATTTTCCAGATAATACAAATAACGAATGATGCCTTTCTCTTTGATAAAAAGGAAAAGCATGATGACTTGCGCCACCTGGCGATAAAGAAGTAAAATATAAATTGTTCAAAGAACTGCAGCTTGAATTTGAACCAGAATTCAAACCAGAAGTTGTACTAGTATAAGGAGAACCAGGAGTTGAATAATCAAAGTCTTCAAACGAAGACCTATTACTTGCGTCACTCTCAGTAGCCGGGGACGTATTTGATTGAGATCGAGGTTTATAAGATAAACTTCTTTTGAGTAAACTTTGACTAGAAGAAGAAGTAGAAAGACTTCGACGAGTTCTTCTGTGTTTAGCGAAATGATCTTCGGGACCGATAGCTTGTTGCACAGTCGGAGCCATTAAAGCGGAATTTTGGGAAAGAAAAGTTATAGGGGTAGATAGAGATGCAGGTAAACTACTTGGAGTAATACGTTCACCTGGAAGGGAACGTGAAGTAAATGGTCTCCGGGGCTCTTTGTCCATAGTGTCACTTGGAACACTATTTATGACTACAGAGTATATATGTGTAGATATATATAGTGGAAGAGATCTTGAAGGGTTCGGTGACCAAAAAATTAATGAGGTTGAAAAAAAAAACGAGTAAAAGAAAAAAAAATATATTTATATATATTATTCTACAGTATTCCTTTTTTCAATAAAAAAAGTTCCCCCTTTCAGTAAAGTTCATCGCTTTGCCGAGTATTTTTCAATATTTTACCTGAAAAGGTTGTGAGGAAACTTCGGCCGATTTCACTACTCTATTTATTACTCACATATAAAACAAATAATTTACTAAATAGAACTTGAAAAAATATTTACCGAAAATATATTTTAGATTTAAATTGTCCCCTTTTTTATGATCATTGGGAGACTTCTCTTTCACTATCTGCTATAGTCTTTAAGTTTATAATTATAATTCACGTATATTTCAGTATTTGATATACTTATATGTTAGAAAGACAAAACCAATTAAAAGGACACAAGGCACACGTGATACCACTGTTTGGTGAATTTCTTAGGTTACACGACAGTGCAGATAGTGAAAGGGACCAATATTTTGACATCCATAATAAAATTCAATACGTATCCGTTCTTTATTTCTTGTTTAATCCAATAATAAGTTAAGGTGCCGTTTAAGTGAAATTTGGGAACATTATTCACTACAAACTATTAATAGTAAATGTACATCGGTTTATACTGTGAAAATGAAACTTAATATAAAAAAGGTGTTCTGTAAAGAAAACTTACTAACCGCCCAATCAAGTGAGTGTGTAGAATTATAAAGTTTATTATACTGTATCGAACAGATTTATCTTAATTTTATTATAGTACGTAGGAGTTTGTTATACGTAACGAAAATCTTTAAAATTTACTTATATTGTATATAATATACTGTATTAAGTAATTTTAAAAGTTAATACGTATACGTATACTGTACGTATAATTATCCAGAGCAAGATGAACCACTACATAAGTGAAAATCAAAAAATAATACTGAACCAATAACGGTAAAGGCTGTAATCTCATATTATACGTACAAAAAAAGAATATATACTAACTTTTCTAATCAAATATAACTATAAAATTAAAACTTTAAAATAAATCTAGAAATACACCCTCCCAAAACCGATCCTGTCAATTGCTATAACCGATAAAAAATTGATCCACCATGTCTGTTCCATAATTAAAACCCGATAACCTGCCATTTCTGATAACCGATACCCAAAAGACCAGATATCTATAAGATATCGGTTTTGACAGGTAATATAAATCGATTTGACTGGCTAAGATCGGGTTTTGTGCAACAGATTATATATATAAGAAATATAATCCAGCCAATTATATTTATTTGTGATCATGTGACAGCAGGCCATTGGTATTTTAAATCAATTTCTAAATCCGATAACCTGATACAAAAGCTGTCTACCATGTGAGAGGGTGTACTGTAATACATATCAGGTATGTAGTACGTATAAATTTTTATCGCATAACTTATATATTACATATCTAAAAAATTATTGCATTTTTAAACAAAATCATATCTTTTAAAGTCTAGCATAAATTTTAAACAGTATTAACAAAATGATAAAGAAATTTAAAGAACTAGAACAATTACTGTGGAAATAAGTATTCGCAGTAATTAATAATTATAATCCCCGTGCTCTTGGCACAGTGATCGGGGGCAGATCGGTCATACGAAATGCCAAATGATCTGTTTATAAAAGAAAAAAATAAATCCGTTATTGGATGTTTCGCATCCAATAACAGCGCACCTGTCTTTGAATTTAATGTGAGCCCCTTCGGGGCCCAGGTTAGCACATTAAATTCAAAGACAGATGCTTCTTTATTTGTCGTATAAAACGTCTATACTGAGATTCTTCTAGTGTTGACATATTTAGATCTGACAAATATGAACATGAAGTAATCTAAATAATATCCATGTTCATATCTCCTTTGCCGAATATTTCAAAATATTTCAGGCATTTACTCTTATTCTATTCAGAATATCTCGGAGTAGCAAGTTAACGCGTTTAAGTGCCTTATATCTATAGAAAAATACAGTATAAATATATAGTTTTATTTACAATATATTAAAAAGAAAATAATGCAAAATACCAAATTTTAGACTTTTTTTTAATTTTTTCTAATAATATTAATTTGTATTATTTTTAATCTTTATATTTAAACTATTAAATATAAAACTAATTTTATACAAATAAATATATTTTATAAATATAGTATATACTTGTATAGATAGTACTGTAGTAATATTTGTATTATTATTAGATTAATAATTATTATATATACTATATATATATATAGTATAATATTTTTTTTACTATATTATACTTTTTTTTCTTTCTTTTATAAATATAAATATTTTTTTACTATATATTTAAAAAGAATTTATTTAATATTTACCATCCTAAGAATTTCAAAGTTATGGTACAGTTTTAGAATAAAAGAGAAGTTTTATATAGATTAGATATAAGGTCTTGATTTCAATTTTCATGAGGTTTTCAGGCCCTATTTGGGCTAGGCGCTGATAAAAGGGACGAAATTGACAATTTTTTCAAAAGATGTTTTTTTGCATAAATCATTTTTACTTAAGACACAAAAGTAGTTGTGTTAATAAAATTTTGCAATATAGCTTCTCAAAGTTTGTATTTTCTTATGATTTATTATAAGATTTACAACATAAAAATTGATTTTCCGAAGATCGTCAATTTCGTCAGAATCCGACTTTAATTACTTGGTACGTTTTTGAGATATAGCACCCCGGTGAATTTCACCTCTGGTGAGCGTTAAAATCGTCCATTTAAAAATTTAAAATATATTACCTTATATATACAGTATATAGTTTAAAATGCTACTATAGTTGACTCCCGTTACAATAGAGTAATTACACGATACGAATCTGCAAAATTATAGAAACTAACGCTCATATAGTATAGATTTGAAAATCGGCCTATACTATACTGATCTGCGAAACTACTGAATTTACTGAAATTAATTTCTAACCCTAACGTAACACCAGATCAGTATGGTACGATTTTAAAATTTAGCCTGCTCGATACCTCATATCATACTGATCTGGTCAGTCGTACCATAATCTTCGTAACTCCTGGCCTATCTGCTATACTATACTGATCTGCCCACCTATAGGATAATTCGGATATATCCGGATAATCTGGCAAGCATAATTATCCGGATACCATTAGTAAATGGATAGAAATGGATATCCGAATAAATTCAGATCCGGATATCTTATAATTATTAAACGGGAGTATTTAAATAAATTTTTAAAATTTGTATAATAATTCTTTTAATTAAAGCTAAATTAACAAATATAATTTGTATTTGATAATTCTTTTCTTTAATTGGAACAATTAATTGCTCAGTATATTAAAGGTTTGTTTGATAAAAAGTTAAGCTAGTGGTTAATTTAGCCAATATAACTTTTTATTTAAACAGTTATTGTAAGCTACTATTTTTTATTACTGCCTAAATAAAAAGAGATTGTTGCTGTTATTACGATCTAGGGCTTTACAAATTCGATGTAGGCGTGGTGGCTTACTTACGGCATTACGGCCATGACGTAAAGGCGAGTGATGTAGTATGCTACCCTGAAAAATTTCGCTGGCCAATCAAATTTCACAAAAAATCTTTTGTACGAGGTGATCACGCGCTTTACACAATTATGCTAAAATCTTAACATTAGATACAGTGCGTTATTTCGAAATAAGAGTAGATTTTTCTAAATCCAATACAGTCAACCTTCCATGTCTGCGTAAAAGTACATTTATAGAATAGATCATAATCTACATGATAATATCGATATTAAATAATTATTAGACTGATCAAATTATGTGCACTTATCATTATAGGGAAAGTGCACTTATAAAGGGAGCACATATGGAGTGTCGACTGTATATCGATATCATTTATCGCAATTATAAAATTATGTGCTACATTAGGATGCGCGTTAATTCGGGATGCCCATGAGCGCTAATGTCGAGAACATATGGGATCTTTGCTAGGAAAATGACCCTCCGAGGTTATGTTGATTATGTGAATAAATGTTAAATTTGCCTGCCATCTAGTTATCCAATTTGAACGAGCTTTTTTCTATTTTATGGAGCTAAATAAGCTCTATAAAATAAAAAAAAGATCATTCGAATTGGATAACTAGATGGCTGGTAAATTTAATTTCTATTCACAAAATCAACATAGCCTCGGAGGATCATTTTTCTAGCAAAGATCCCATATGGGTTCAACCCCAAACCCGACCTGAATGACTCTTTAGAAGCACTATTTAAATGATTGATTTTTGGCACATCCCAAATCTGCGACAGGTTATGCAGATAATGCGGCGCAGATCCTATTAATAAATTCGAAAGTTTTTTAAAACTTCTAGTAGATTACTCAATAGCTACTTGATCAAATTCAACAAAGATTACTCAGCACTTACATGGTCAAATTCAATTAATTTTTTTTTATTTTAATTATATGAGCTTATAGAATTTAAATAAAAAAATTGATCAAATTTGATTAGATAAGTAACAAGTAATCTTTAAAATTTTTACTTTAAAAAAAAAGCTGTGGTCAAACTTTTTTAATTTTAATGAATATTTCTCAACAACATGCTATTCAAATTCAATCAATTTTTTTTATTTTAATTCTATTAATACATAGAATCAAAATAAAAAAATTTTTGTCAAATTTTAATAGTTATTTGGTGAGAAATTTTTGTTTAAAGCTCAAACAAAAAAAATTTACTTTAGTTTGTTTTTTATTATTTTAAGTTTTTTTTTAACTTTTATTGATGATTTCTCAATAACTGCTAAACCAATTTTAATGAAATCTTTTTTATTTCAATTTTACAAATTTATTGAATTAAAATAAAAAGGATTTGTATCATATAAACCTAAAATCTGATTTTTATTTTAATTGGCTACATTTTTTGTAATTTAATTGGATAC